GCTACTGAGGTGAGCCCTTGGCTCACCCATGCATTCACCCTCTTGGCTGCCTAGGTTGGGAGCAGGACCTAGGCACTCCCGCTTGGGATCATTGGAGGATTGTGGATTGGAGGCTAAGACCTCAGGATCGTCAAGGTCGTGTAGCTATCTCCCTGCGGTGATAGCTCCCCTTTTGACCTGGCTTAGAGAAAGAGCCGTTGACCTTACACTTACATCTTGTGCACATATGATACGCCTCAAGATATCACACCTACCCCTGCAGTTCCTATGATACAACCTCCCCGAGGACCTGAATCATAGGACACAGCTAGTAGGGCTGATATCACCCTCCTGTCGAGTTGAGGAGAACTTGCCACCTGCCTTGAGGTTGCTTGGGCTCCAATACTCCTGGAGTCTATATAACGGCATCATAAGTGCAGCCACAGACACACAGCAAGAGTACAAGAATCACATAACATACATTAAGTGTTCAAGGTCTCTCACTGCCACCTCTTCCCTCTCTAAGCTTGCCTTGGTCTTCTACTCCTCATTGAAGTGCCTACCATCTTCCCAGAGGTCAACGACCGATCGCCTCTAATCGCTATAACTCACAAATATCAACATATTAGACTTGATATTGAAATGAAATATTTACAAGACCTATTGAAAATTTAAAAACTAAACTAGTTACTGCCTTAAATTAATAGCTAATTCTTATAGATTAGTATTTTGCATCATAAAGTTACTGTGGTTTCTCAACATTCTTGAGCTTATGTGTAACCCATTGCTAATAATTATTTATTTTTTATTTTTTACAAACGTATCCTAGCCGTACCCGTATCCTACTTTTTTAGATTTTGCTGTATCGCCGTGTCCATATCGCATCGTATCGTATCGTATCCGTACCTCGTATCAGTGTCCGTGCTTTCCAGCCCTTAATATTTGTTTGAATACTCATACGAAATTCCATGAAGTGTTTATTGTTTTTGCTGAGAGGAGTTTTGGAACGAACTCTAGGATTTACATGCACTGGAAATACATAAAACAGTCCCAACAGTTTAGAGCTTAACTTAGCTTTTTTTTCCCAATGGCAAGATCTTTATATTATTTTTTCAGTGTACAGTTTTTACATTTACTCTCAGTTTTAATTGTTCTGTTAATATCATCTACCATGCAGGCAAAACGTGACCCCTACCGGTTCCGGTTTCCTATTGAGATGCGTTTTGTTGATCCTAATATAGATCACCTGATGTATGTAATTTGTACTTTTGAATATTATTCACCCTTGATGTCTATTTTGTTACATTCTAAGGTCAGGTTCTGCTTAGCTGGAAGATATAAGTTATCATTGCTCACTCCTTTTTTTTTTCCTTTTTTTTATTTTATTTGTTCCCATGCTTACAGCTTTAACAGATTCGACTTCCCACCAATATTTCATCGTGATGAGGATACTAATCCAGATGAAATACGTGTAAGTGCCATTCTGTTTCAGAAAGTGCCACGCCTATTACTTTATCCATATCCTCCAGAAATGCTTGCATTAGCCCATGTTAAACTGTAATGTCTTGACTGAATGTGTTTTTATAAGCTTCAGCAAATGAGCAATGCTACAATGACCATCTACTTCTACCATCGTATCTTATCTTACCATCTCATGTGTTAATCTAGTTGTCAGCACTACATTGGAGATATACATTAGTGGTGGGACCTATTACACCAATATAGTGTTGGCAAATAAAATGGTATGAAAATGTGAGAAGTGTAGGATTATTGCCATCAAATTTAGTATATTAATGGTAGATGATGCCATTGTCATGTAAGCATTTTGATGGGCCAATGATCTAGCACTACAATTGGCGTTTGACCACCAATCTTTGATATAATTATTTGTTATTGACTGCTGATTGTTAAACTTTGCATAAATCGACTAATCTGTGGTCGGATCCATCTGTTGGCTAGTCCTCCCAGATTTTTAATTCTTTATATGCTTGAAGGAGAAGGTTCTAGCATTCAAAAGCTTGCTTTATTAATTTTAAGATATTGACCAATTTTGTGATTTTGCCTGCCGTGTGTTTTATTTGCAGCGTGACTGTAGAAGACCTCCTATTCCCATAAAAGATCCAGGAATCAAAGTGGAAGAGGAACCTTTGTTGTCAAATCACCCATATGTTGATAAGGTATTCCTTCAATTATGAATTTTTTCTAATGTGGTTGGCATTTCTTACAAGCATTTCAAATTAAGTATTCCAATCATGGAGATACGTCATTTGTGATATACCATAAATTCATAAGCTCTCATGCGCAGATGCAATGTTCTACAAGGTCGAGAATAATTTGTGATTGAATTTCACGTCTATATGTGCAAAACACTACCAACATGCCAAGATCTGATGTCCTTTTTGTCATCATAGAAAATCTTTTCTAGTGCAAATATGAAAAATATTAGGGAAAAAAAAGATGCCTTGCATAGCATGTTTTACACTAGTTTGCTACCATTATTTCTTAGCAATTTTTTCCCCTAAGTACGCTTTCATTCTATTTTCCAAGGTTTGATGAATTTTATATTGGTACTGCTGTTGAATTCGAAGACCTTGCAACTTTTGAATGTACAAACAAGCACAAATAAAATACACACACTGTCACACATGTAAAAACTGAAGCTTAGCATGTAAATTCCCAATCTTTTTCTTGGTGACTGAGAACCAGAAAATAATTAAGGGGAAGCTTCTAGCTGATTGCATGAACTATCCTAATGGACGTGATGCACAACGAAGGTATTAGATTTTTGTTGGATGTGTAATAATAAGCACAACGGAGACCAACAAAGATAGTAGTGAAGAGATGCGATACAGTGACTGTAGATGGTTGTGTTAGGAGAAGGGGTAGACCTAGATCGATGTTGACTAGTGTAGTAAATAGAGATATGAATCTTTTTAATTTGACTAACGAATGGAGAAAAAGGATTCATGCAGCCGACTCCATTTGTTGGGATTTAAGGGTTGGTTTGGTTTGGTATGTAAAAATAAGCCTTTTTCCAGCCCAAGCAGCTGATTGATAATCTGCTTTTTTAGTACATCTTAGCTCTACTGATACTATACCAAATTTCATTAGCTGCCAAGAATGACGGATTACGATTACATTTTTGTATACCCCCAAAATATTCATGAGAATTTTGTTTTCTTCATCTTTTTTATTTTTATTTTTTTATTCTTTCATTATGTAAAATAGGACTCGGAAAACGCCATTGTTAATGTAAGCTATAAAATGGCCATTTCTAGTGTTGGTCCCATGATGCAAGTGCTGGATAGCTTGATATATATTGTTGAACCCATTTCTTAACAATTTAAGCTTTTAGGACAATTAGTGATCTGAGATGGTATTAGAGCTTAGTTTGTGAGAGGTCTTGGGTTCAAGTCTCTCCCTTTGCATTTGGTCTCTATTTGGATTCTTTCTTTCCCGTTTGCATTATGCTTCTTTCTATATATGTCTATTTGCATCTCCACATGTAAGACAGATGGGGTTGCACATGAGGGAGGATGCTGAATAGCTTAATATACATTGTTGGATCCATTTCCCAACAGCTTAAAACATTTAGCACAATTTGTGACCTACAGTAAGATGCTTGGAGTGGAGTGGAGTGGAATTGCTGCTCTAAGACATGATTTTGTTCATGCTTGACAGCCCAAGCATGAAATTGAGGATTCTCAATATTTTTTCAAAATTTCTCAGCTTCCTTCTTCAGTATTGTTTCTAGGCAAGTACCTATTTAATCTAATGTTATCAAGCCAATCAGCGAAATCCTAACCAGAATTTAAGAAGCCACCTTTAATACATTCGCAAATGTACTTGGCAAAAGGACGTCCTTGAAGAATCTCATATGTATTCTTTGGATATTTATAACATTATGTGAATTAACCTAGAACAACATTAATCAGTTATGCATCTTCATTGGCAACTCTCTATGATACCACTTGACCATGTTATGCAATACTATATTCCAAACAAGTACATTTGTTTTCCGCCATTACACTGATAAACTTATTTGGGTACTTACCTCGTTTGGGAACCAGCCCGTTTAGTCAAAAAGCTAAAAAGTTACTAAAAAAGCCAAAAAGCCAACAACCCATACCAAAAAGTCAAAAATTCTCCTTTCTCTCTACTTTTTGCACATTTTTTCGTAAAAAGTCAAAAAGTCATCCCAAACATACTAGTTTTTTTTAGCTCATATTTTAGCCAAATAGCCAAAAAGTTACTAAATTAGCCTGTTCCCAAACGAGGCCCAGTATATCAAAAACTGACATGATTTTTGGTAACACCTCTTCATATCAAAAAGGCCAATTCATATATATGAATTTCCCTTTTTTATTGGGGAGGTCAAATATTTTTGTGGAAGACGTTCTAATATTGGTATACTGAGCTGAGCCTTGAGATCTTTTGGGATCCATGTTGGATGCTGACAATTGTCTTTGTGAGATTGTTACATATAAAAGAATGGATAATGGAAGCTGAATATCCATTCATCTTTTGTTTGAATGCTTTATTCAATGGTTGACTGAGAATCTAATTCAATCTGGCAATTCTGTGAACTATATTTCATTTGTTTTTTGAATTATGTTTTGCTGTGCAGATTTGGCAGATCCATGTTGCTGAACAAATGATTCTGGATGATATGGAGACTAATCCTGATAAATATGAGGATAAAAAATTGACAGAGTTAACTGATGATGATGATTTTGATGAGGAAAACAGTGTTGAATATACCAAAGCTTATTATAAGAAAACTTTAGTACCAAAAATGATTCTGGTAAGCATCTTCCTTATGACACAGCATCAATCTGTTTGTTAATGCATTTTAAGGCAAACAATTTGTAGTGCTGCTATTGTTTGTGGTAAGATCATTTCATCCTGGGAGATAGACGTCCAAATTTTGAAAGCACCGTGGAGAGGACGAATCTGTCTTAAGGACACAGTGTTAAACACTGGACTTGATCAGAAAAGTTATTCAAATAAATTAACCAAGTAAGTTGTTTAATTTAATTCTGTTTTTATTTGTTTATTTAATCAGATTTTAATTTTGTTTTTGTAACAAAATAAAATCTGTGATTTTATTTATTTATTTTTATTTTGAATTTGATTTTTGTAATCAAACAAATTCTCTCCTTTTCTCTATTTCTTTTATTCTTGTTGTTGTTTTGTACACAACAGAATTTAATCTTTTTAAATACAGTGAAAATTGTCCAACAAAATATAGATGTACTTTTGGAAATATCTTGTTCTTTTGACCCAAAAATATTTAAATTTGGGTTAATTGATCCAACAATTTCAAAAATGAATATCTGACTTATGCTAAATCTATTTTTAATGTCGTGCATAGCTTAATATTTCTATTAGTATCGATTAAAACATGGGTTACACATAGTGTCTAAAATTTCATTTGCATTACTACTAACACATATAGACTAATTAATATTCCTACTTGAACTAAAACAAAATAAAGAAAAAAAATATAAACAAAACAATTCAAAAAGGGATTAATTTACACTAATTAAAATTCTTGCCCTAAAAAACTATTCTAATTGTACTTCTATTTTCAACCTTGTTCTTGCTGTTATAAAATCACTAACACGTATGGAAGTTCCAAAAGATTAAAACTAAAATTGAGCTAATCTATTTGATGATGCAACTTCTGATGATTTGCTGCCAATGTTTAATAAAAATATTACTTCATTTTTGCTAATTTAAATAAAGAAAAAAAAAAAGAGACATTGATATATTTGTGTTTCCACAAAGTATTTTGAGAGTAGACAAATAAACGTAAGTAAGATCTTTAAACTTCAATCACTAGCTTGTTCTAGTCATGCAATGGCTACACTACTTGCCTCTGTCTTAAAGAATAGAAGGTAAATTATAACTTCAATCTAATTTTTAATGTAACTTTTAAATCTTAAAATTTTCTATTTAAGGTGATGCTACATTTTAGAAATATTATATTTTTATTTTTAAATTATTAGTTTCTTTTTTTAGATTTTATAAATTGTATCTTTCTACTTGAATAATAAATAAATAAATAAAATTGTATCTTCTTACTTACAATTAACGCTACTCAAATTTAACTTGTACTATGATGCCATTTTGATTAGTAAGACTAATAGTGAGGGGATTAAAAATTCATGGAATTAGCGATTAGTTATCCAGATGGATTATAGTGTAATAATTATTTCTTCTTATCCACGTTTGTTTTGCAATGGATATAGAAATATATATCTCTAATTATATGTTTGTTTTGCATTAGTTATGGGATTAAAAAGTTCGCCAATTTTATTGGATAGAATGTCCATCAAAATCTAATCTGAATAATAAAAATTTTAACTAAACACTAAAGTGTGAATCTCATAGATTAATAATTTCAATTCTTCTTCATTGTTTGCGCACATTCTTATCACTACGTTCATTCCATACATGCTCCATATGCATCATAAGGTTTCATTTGCAACTTCTTCAAAGTGAGTTTATTGACTAAAGAATTCATTGTACCAAAAAAAATCTGTCATTTGAGCATAATTAATTCCTACCCAAAAATAAATAAATAAATAGTTTTGGCCACTCTGAACATTCATTAAAAAAGTAAAAAAATAAAATAAGAAAATAAAAAAATAAAACAATAAGAAATATATCAAATGAACTAGGCTTTTTGTTGACTAAATTTTAACTAATAACTCATTTAACTTTGTTAGGTATTCTGTTGGCTTATGAAAATTACGAAAAAAATTAATAATAATAATTTTAGGCCGTGTTTGTTTTAGTTGAAAGTGATGAAATTGAATTAATAATTCGATAGATTCAACATAAATTATATTTCATTTGAAATGATATCGTGAGACTAAAAGTCTCAATGGAATACAAATCCATTCCAAAGATATTTTTATATATGGGTAAATTATATTCACTTTCCTGGAGGTTCTAAAAAAATGCAATAAGTTTTACAATTTTGGTATAATTACACCATTATTGTAAATCTGAAACCCATTAGTACCGTTAAGTAAAATCAAAATTGGTACAGTTACTAACCTGGTCTTTAACTCTTGGAAAGCAGTTTTTTTTTTTATCAGTCCAATCAAATAGTGTAGCTTTCTATGTCAATTGCGTGAGTGGCAATGCAAGTTTGGAAAAATCTTTCACAAATCTACAATAATAGCCTGCAAGTCCTAGAAAACTTCGAACTTCTGATACATTTGTCGGTCTGGACCAGTTCGCAATAGTTTCAATTTTCTGTGGGTCAACGAAGATACCATCCTTGTTGATCGCATGTCCCCAAAATCCCACACTGTCAAGCCAAGATTCAAATTTGGAAAACTTTGCATATAACTTCTTTTCCCTTAGGGTCTATAAAGCGATTCTCAGATGATTTTCATGCTCTTCCCTGCTTTTAGAATAAATTAATATATCATTGATGAACACAACAATAAACTCATCAAGGAATTATTTGAACACTCTATTCATTAAGTCCATAAATGCTACAGGTGCATTAATTACCCCAAATGGCATGACTAGGAATTCATAATGCCCATATCTAGTTCTGAATACAGTTTTTTGTACGTCTTCTGCCTTAACCTTTAACTGGTGATACCTGGATCTAAGTTTAATTTTAAAAAACACTTGGGCTCCCTGGAGTTGGTCAAATAGGTCATCTATTCGGATTAGTGGGTATTTGTTCTTCACGGTTACTTTATTCAATTCACGATAGTCTATACATGACCTCAAAGACCCATCCTTATTTTTTACAAATAAGACTGGAACACCCCAAGGTGATGTGCTTAGGCGGATAAATTTCTTGTCTAAGAGTTCTTGAAGTTGGACTTTCAACTCTTTGAGTTCAGAAGTTGACATTCTATAGGGGACCTTGGAAATAGGTTGTATTCCAGGTACTACATCAATCGTAAACTCAATTTCCCTATCAATTAAGTTCCCCGAGTAGGTCATTAGGAAACACATCAGGAAAGTCACAAACCACAAGAATAGTTTCCACTTTAGCACTATCCGAAGACTCAGTCAACACACAACACAAGTAGCCCCTACAACCTTTCCTTAACAATTTCCTGGCTTTCATAAATGAAATCAAGTATGGCGGAAGAACTACCCCATTTCCAGTAAAAACAAACTCAAGCATACCTGGTGGTCGAAACACAACGGTTTTATTCACACAATCAATAGTTGCACAATGCTTTGTCAACTAATCCATGCCCAATATACAATCAAAATGGTCTATGCTCAAAGGCAACAAATCAACATATGATGTCATATCACCAATTATAAAATCACATGTCAGATAAACATAAGTACATATCATAGAACCCCCAGACGGTATAGACACAGATAGTAAACAATTCATGGGTTCCAAAGGTCTAGTCAATTTCCGAGAAAAAGCACGCGATACAAATGCGTGGAACCAGAATCAATCAGCACATAGGCATTCTGAGCACAGATAGAGATTATACCTGACACCACATATTTGGTGTTCTGCACATCACCAGGCACAAGTGCAAATACTTGACCCTGCCTCAAGGTTTCCTTCCCGGTGTTAGCTTTCGTATTCATCCTTGATGCAGAAGTGGATCTGGCTGAACTTGCCGCTAGACGGTTGGTATTTTCGAGCCTAATAGGACAATCTTTCATCATATGGCCGGTTTTACCACTCCTGAATAGGGATGGCAATTGGAACCCGGCCCGACGGGGACTCGATCCCCCGACCCCGAATCGAGCAGTTATTCCCCGAAAAATACCCCCGACGGGCCGGGGATGGTATTAAAAATTGAATCCCCGATAATATTCGGGCCGGGGACGGGGATACATGTTTCAGCCCCGGACCCGGCCCGACCCCGACACCGTCCCCGTCCCCGTCCCCGATCCTCGTCTCGGTTGCTCCCAGTGTGAAATTACTATTTTGCCCCTTCTATATATAATATATGTGTGAGAGTGTGTAGGGTTTGGGCTGCGTCCCCGATCCCCGCCCCGGTTGCCCCGGTGTGAAATTACTATTTTGCCCCTTCTATATATAATATATGTGTGAGAGTGTGTAGGGTTTGGGCTGTTGGTAGACGCAGCACACCCACGCACAAACATCTTCTCCCTCTCTCTCTCACATACACGGTCGTTCCTCACCGCCTCTCCTTCACCATTTTGGTCGGCAACGGCTCCTCCCTCACCGCCGCTCCTCCTCTGGCGGAACTCCTTCACCGCCGCTCCTCACCGCAACTCCTCCTCACCGTTTTGGTCAGCAGCGGCTTCTTCTTCTCTCTCTCTCACGCTATCGTCTCTCTCTCATGGTATCTCATTTTCTCTCTCTCTCTCTCTCTCTCTCTCTCTCTCTCCTTTCCTGGTTTGGTCGGCGACGCCTCCTCCCGCACCATCGTTCCTCACCGCAGCTCCTCCTCTCTCCCTCTCATGGTATCTCCTTGTCTCTCTCTCTCGCGATATCTCTTCCCCTCTCTCTCTGTTTTTTTGATTTTTTTCTCTGTTTTTTGATTTTGTTCTTCAGATCTGGAAATGATGAAGATGAACATGTTAATCTCTGTTAGATTTGTTGATGAATGTGTTAGATTTTTTGATCTATTTGTTGATGAAGATCAAGAAAATGAAATCTGTTGTTGAAAATCTCTCTCTCTCTCTCTCTGATTTGTTGTTGAAATCTGTTAGATTTGTTGTTGAAATATGTTTTTTAGATTTTTTTTTTTTTTAATTTTTTGGTCGGGGAATTTTGGGGTCGGGGAAACCGATCCCCGTTAGGGGACGGGGACGGGGGCGATTATGGGCTCCCCGTCGGGGATCGGGGCCGGGGACGGGGGTATT